GGAATTTCATATAAAAGAAGAGATATATTTAATAATGAAATTCCATGGCCAACTTTAATTTAAATATGTTGGCCAAGCCATATTCTAGTGTAATAATATATTTCTTATTGCCATTTATTTATTTCTTATTCTTTGTGAGCTTGTGAACTAACCAATGACCTCCTATAAATAAATGGCAATAATATTAATAATTAATATACGCCCTATAGATTTAAGGGGCGAATGAAAGTGATGAATTATATATTGGCAAAATATTAATACAAAAGAAATAGAATTATAATATTTTGCCCTCATCACCATCTATTTTTATATTAAAAGAAATGAATAATAAAAATAGATGACTTAGGTGCCAAAAATCATGGGAGAATCTGGGCCAGAGATTTTTGGCTTATAGGAGGTTACCCAGCTTATTTTTATTGTTCATTTCTTTTAATATAAAAATAGATGGTGATGAGGGCAAACCGGTGCCCATTCTTCTTCGCGGAATTGGCACATCTCATCTTGTCAATGCCAAGATGCCAAGCGAAAACATGCACGGCAGGCAGACTTCGTTCCTGTCGCATTCGGCTCTGTTTGGGTTCAACACAAAGTTGTGAATCCCTTTATGCCTGTCCAATCGACACAATTAAACAAAAAAAACATGTGCTCGTCTATTGCCCATGACCCCAGGCGCTTTAGAACTCCAACCCCTGTATGCTGCCTGCCTTGGACAAAAGCTTTGCTGCGCTCTTTGGGAGGCCCAAGCACTCGGCCAGGTAGGAACAGTAGGACGCGTGCATCGCACCTGGCAAATGCAGGTTGTAGGTAGCACCAGCATGCGAAAGCGTTTGGTGTTCTGGTTGTAGGCAGGAAGTCCAAAACCGAGTCCGGCAATACAGCTACAAGTACAGTCTTTCTTGTGTCTATATTCTAACAAGGTCATGGCTTAGCCCAGGGGTGCTTCGTTTCACACTGAGGGAATGAAACTTTGCACGCGTCATGGGCATGGCGCCATTAGAAGGGGAGACTGATGATTAGTGCAGTGACAGTGACAGGCAAAGTGTTCATCAACCCCGACACAAGAGACCGACAAACGGTCACCTGCACAAGCCTGAGAGCTCTCTCGGACAAAACCATCACCCGCTCTCACGTTCGGGTCCACCGGTAGCACCGGTGGACCGGCCACAATTTCACCTGGGGACCGGTTCATAGCCCACCGCAGTGTTTTTGACTTCGACATCGACCCCCAGGTGGGCGATGTTCGTGAGGCATCGCGTCGGTTTCGCCTGAGTTGGCCACCCGCTCAGAGACTTCGCAGAAGGGATGCTTGGACCACGCCGCAGTGGTGTGTTGAAGCATTTCCTGCAGCTCTCTGCTCGGGCTCTCGGCTTTCACGTCCAGAAAGCACCTCAAACGATTTGCCAGAAACTGGACGGAACAAGGGAATTGTGCCGCCCCTTTGGTCATGTTGCTTCTTACTTCTTGGAATTCTCGAGGTCCTGCATCGGGATGATATCCAAACGTGTACAAAACAGATTCGGCGATCTGCTACGCAAACAAGCCACTCTTGCAGTTTTTCGAACAAATCTGCGAAGCAAGTCAAGTACTGATTGTTGGACGATGGCATCAAGAATACCGCTGTCAGCTTCGCAGGCCATGCATCTTGTGATGCCTTGGGTGTAACAAAACTCGTGACAGCAATTCAGAGCAAAAGGCAGTGCAGAATCATCCTACACACTCCAAGACGGAATCAAAGACATGCATTGCAACAAACTCCATTTTGCACAAAGCACAAAACGCATTTGGAGGTATGCTTCCGTGACGGATACTGCATCGTTGCCCAGCTCCACCAGCTGCTTCAGACCACCTGGGAGCCAGGGATGAATGCTTTTCTGAGGAGTGTTGGCTCAAGTGAATTGCAATCGGGAAGTGCCAATGACCCCTTCACATCTGTTGACCTTGTCCCACAGGATTGTTCTTGAGTCTTCACACACTTCCACTTATATATGTTCTCTCTGTTCATCGCACATATCTCAATTTCCAGCGGCAGTTTCAACGAATAAGCACCAAAATCCCTGAGTGCTTGATCAACGAAGGGCAGTCAGTCCCTTGGCCATAGCAAATCTTGCATCCCACTTCCCTTCCCAACCCCGCAAGTTGTTGCACATCGGGCCTTGATCACAAAAGACCCGCAGAGCAGCAGCCAGAACAGAGACCAGCTTCTCCACGCATTTGTTTCGGACGACCGTCTGCAAGCCTTGGAGCGGCACAAGGCTCGAGCAAAAAACAAAAGAACATCGGGTTTGACTGGCTGTAATTGGTATACAGTAATACAGTATAATACCTCTTGGTTTCACAGCCGTCCATTTTGAGACGCACATGGCAAATAACGACACGGCATCGGACTCGAAACTACAAGAGCCGAGTACGCCAGAAGGTCCTGGGAGCCCACCAATCGTTTGTTCTTTCTTGTGACGTGGATCGGTGACCAAACACACACGTTCACTCCAAGAGACATAGCATCGGCCGATTCTGGTTCACCTTCATGCCCATGATCTCCTTTTAGAGCGTTGGAGTGTTTCTTGGCAAAGAACAAATACTCCGGTGGCATTTCTGTGTACGTCTATCTCTGATTGATTGTCCCCCTTCATGAGGAGGGTAGCAAGGTTCAACAGGACAGTATCAGACCTGTTAGGACAGCAGTTGCTTGGAGTCCTGTGCGACCACAGTGGCCTCCTGCTCCAAGGAAACACCATAGAGGCCTTCCGAGCGGATCCGTTGGAGATGGTCCAGCAGCACCTTGGGCAACCGAATCGACGAAAGGATGGAGAAAGTGAAACCAGAAACGTCCAAAAAGCATTTCGAGTCTCAAATTTGGCTGGAATGAATATGAATGAATGGGCTGATGCACGGGAGGCTAGTAATGCTAATAAGGTTCCCTTTCCAACTCTGCTCCACTTCTTTGCATGGCAAAACAAAGCCCTTATGGTACTTTGGAGTTTCCGTGTTGAGTGCTCGTCTTCTTGCTAAGAATGGGCGATTAATTTTTTGTGTAGGCGTTGTTCAGTTCGTTGGCTTGGTTAGTGTTCCGAAGCAGAGCTTGGGGATTTGGCAACTGACCATACTACTAACAATTGACAATCAGCGGTTGGCTGTGATGGGCACATGTTTTCCTATGCACAACTGTGCGACATGTCATGCTTGGGTTACAAAAGCGCCCAAGAATGGTTTTTGCAACCTCCAGCACTCCACGAGAATCTCTGCATCCCGTTCTGCAGCATTAATCTCGGCATGGAAAACTTCTGAATAGACTTCGACCTGTCTTGCGCCCGGCACCTTGAAAGATGGGCTGCTGAGCAAGGCCCACAAGGGCTCCACCCGCTGTTGAAGCGATGCGTCGGCTCGATAAAAGGCCGCGGCCGGATGAAGCCACTCCTGCTCGCAAGGTGGCTTGGGGTCCGTGTTTCGGTGCGGCTCACAAGAGCATCCCTCTTCAAACATGGAAGAACAGCTGGTTCAGACTCCTTCTGCAATGACCAGGTTTCAAGGGGTCATGACTGCCCACTGTCAAGCTGAACCGTCTTGGCCAGCAATCAACATCTCAAGATCCAGAAGCCAAAGCTTTTGCCTGCATTATGGAATTCAACAGCTTGGTTAAAAATGGAACTTGCAAGATTCAGTGGATGTTCCCTCCAAGGAAAGGCATAAAATTGACTGCGCAGCTCGAAGCCCCCCCCCCCACTCCTCTGCAAAGCTTCGGAGGCTCTCTGAGGGCGTGAGGTATCCCACCGCGGTCCACAGATCCCGGTAAAGCTCCGCGTGCTCGGCAGATGAATGGATCGGAGCTGTCACAGACGCTGTGACCGGAGTGGTGACCGGAGTGGTGAAGCTGTGACCGGACGGTGTTGCAGGGGTTGAGCCACCCGGCACGGTTGAGACAGCGTGGTGTAAAATGGGGGAGCTCCTCTCCTCCGAGCGCTCAAGGAGTGAAGATACCAGACCTGAAACAGGTCTTGGAGGCTTGAAAGTTGGAATCCCCTCACCAGTTGTTGTCATCTCAAAAGCACCGGCTACTTGAAGAATTCCACTTCTTTCAATTTCCACAAACCGCCAGCTGTGCCCACCTGGAGATTCGGAATCATCCAAGCTGTCGAGGTGGAAGATCTGCCAGGACTGCATGAAAACCGCCTTGGTGGAAGAAACAAAGTCGGAGATTCAAGAAGATTGGACAACTGACATGACTTCAGTGCGTGTCAATTCATTTCAAGTCCAATTACATTTAGGCTCTTCATGGTTTTCTCAGACTCACATCCCAGCCTGATAGCAAGCTGCTACATGTAGTTTCCAGGGCGGCAGCAGAAGCACCACTACGAGGCCCTGGACGTCGCGATCATCAGCCAAGCGTCGGAGCTGATCAATGCCACGGTGAGTGCACTCCACATCCCCCCCATTGGTAGCACCCAAGCGACAAAGCACCATGAGCGGCTTCCCTTTGCCGCGCCTGGGAAGGTAAGTACAATAGTTATTCTCAGCAGAGGGGAGTCTCTCAAACAAACTCCTCAATGGTCTGTTGAAGAATCCCGTGGATTCCCGCAGGATCACATTCATTTGCCTTTTTTTGATGTTCCTACTGATTCCTACTCTTCTAACTCCCAAGAACCGTTTTGGGGGAGAATTCTCAGGCAAACCCGTCAGCTCGGTGCCTTGACTCCAACAAGGCGATCGCCTCTTGGCGGCTTCGTGGCATCGCCTGGATCTCCGCGTCCTCCCGTTGCAGCGGATCGTGAAGCCCGAGCACATCGCGTGTGAAGACCAAGCAGCGAGGTCCACGGTCCACGCAATCCATGTGTGCCATGTGGGTCAATAAGGATCCCAGGCCTGTGTGAGGACGCAATACGTAGCCTGCATGGGGAAAGAACTCACACTTTGGGCATCCATCTCACAAACAAAAGCCCAGCAGTCCCAAAGGGCACACCGGCCTCTCAGTAACTCCTGTGGAAGAGACTTCATGTTGCTCAACACAGCCTCAGATGGTGCAAGGTTCATCAATCGCCCGGCAGCACCCAAGGCAATGGCTGCGACAGCATCAAGTTGGTGCTGTCGCAGAGTCTCCTGCTTGCCTCAGGTCATCTTGCTGATGTGCTTGAATATGCTTGGACGCTGCTTGGATCTTAACACGCATGGGCGAGAACGACAAACAGAAAACCTGACAAAACCCGGCCTGGTATGTGGCCACTTAAAGTGCGAACACCTTGATATCCTGCCAGTTCGTAGATCAGCAAGTATGCATCTCCAGCTTTGCGCTCCGCTGTGGTGGCATCGATCGAACGCTCCGACGCATCGTTGATCTCGATCCATCCGTCTTGCGAGTGCCAGTAGGTCACATAGTGGCCAGAGTCCAAGGTACGGCCTGGCGGTATCGAACGCACCGCGAGGGGAAACATCTCACTGCAACGCGTCTCAAAGATGAGATCTCACAACTCTGCCAGCTGCAAGGCGAAACGACCAAACCGACAAAACGTGTGCAAGTTCAACAAACCAAAACTCAAGTTTTTGCCAGCTCACCTATGTGAACTACAAAAGATCGAAGATTGTAGGTCCAACACTCAGAGCTCTCCACCAGCAATCTTCCCTGTGAAGGTGCCAGCAGTGGAAGCTCAAGACCCTCAAGTGGGACAAAGAGCTGCACCTGGAGCTGGTGGAGTGTTGGTGTCCACAACATGGACGAAGCCTCCAGAGGCACCAACTATATCTACCCAGAAGATCATACATTAAAAATATTATATATATATGATATGCTTTTCCAAGAAATTCTCCTCCAAAGAACCAACAGGAAGGGAAAATTCATGAAAATCCCCACTTCGTGACCGCGGCCTGGTTCTTCTGCATCAGCGAGCCAGAGATGCTCCAGCGCTCCAAGCAAATCGGCAGCAGCCGTGGCGGCAGCTGACCCTCCAAGCGCTGTTTCATGCGCAGCGCGGAGCCTGCAGGGAGCTTCAGGGTGCCAGTCCTCAGCTGGAAAGAGGTGAGAGCTTGCTTTGCAAAGTAATCAGACTTGCAATGGAGAAAAAATAAATGAATGATAATGAATGCATCTCTACCTGCGAGGAATGTAACACATCAAGTCTCCATTGATTCATCTACTGAGAACAAGTCTTTGGAATAAATCTGGAACTTTCAACCTCTATAGCCTCATCTTCGCGGGGTTCGCCAAAATGAACTACAATGGCACGTCCCTGGAGGTGTCTCCACATCTGCCCAGTGTCTCGGTCTCCAGCTCAGTGTCTGCAGCGACCTGTGCCTGCACTGCCGCGCTGAGCAAGAGCTCCAAGCGGGGCACTCCCTGCAATGGAACGCGCAAGACATACTCAGAGGACTCCGCCTGAGGTAGAACCTGGAGGCGTCTGACGACGTTCGAATGACTGCAGACGTCATTCGGACGGGAATACACTTCGTCGTTTCAAAAGGAGAAACTCAAGGTATGAAGCTGAAGAGTCAAGCGTTTTGGTCTGCAAAGTGTGAACGGTCACGTTAATTTGAGTAGTCAACAGCAAAACCGACGAAACAAACAGCACCAGGCCAGCCCGGCAACCAATGAAAGCTTTGAGGTCAGTCCTACCATCAACCTAAAGTTGAATCCACAAACCCTTCTGCGAATCCCAAATCGGAACTGTGTTTCCAGCGTCACGGTTGACCAAATACCAGGCCTTCACCGCTGCATCCTCCAAGTCATGGCTTGGCAAAGCACGGGTCTCTGTGCGCAGGGGCAACTTCAGACCGCCACAGTGGTCCAACAAGCCTTCCAACGTCGTGGCTGCATCCTCTTGCTGGCGTCCTATCGAAATGACTGTCTTGTGGGGGAGTGATGCCTTATGATGTCTTCAACTGTTGGATCTCCTAGGTTACTCAATCTGCTAACTTCCAGAAATTCTGACAAATCCAAATGGAGCTCTCTCATAACATAATGATGGAACCTTCAGAAACAAACGTCTGCAGCGGCCTTGCAAAAGAAAATGTGGGAAATCCTACCAACAACCACAACTGACCCTGCAAACCCCACCTGCAACGATGCCGACTTGTTTCAGCTCTTGCTCCAGCAACATCACTGGCTCCATCGAGACGGTATTCAAGCGTGACCTCTTCATGATATCATGCAATGTCTTGGAAATGGTACTGTCAGATTTGCCGAGCCATAGATTCTCATGCAAAGTCAGCAGTACAAGGCATGCTTGCAGGTAGCAGGTGCTACCAGCATTTTGAAAGCCATGACAGCGCATTCTGCTGAGAGCCTTCTGCTGCTGGATATCTGCCAATTGACGCTCTGACAGATCGCCAGGCAGAGAGCCAGTTGACTCCGACTCAAATTTCCGCGGACCTCTTGCTGCTATGCTTCCTCTATCCTGCCAAGTGGCAGCGAGTTTCACCAGAGCTTCTGACACCTCTTGGTTCTGTAGGGTTTCAAGTATGGCTGAGTCCATGGTCGCCGCCCGATAGCCAATCAGACTGGCGGGACCAATGAGCTGAACCAGTTCCTCAAGGCGGTCTCGAACAGGTTGGAGTATGTAATTCTGAAGCATCTGGTGACTGATTTGGCCGTGGCAAAGATCAAACGCCTTGAAGCTAGCAACATCCGCTAGCGTGAGATAGAACTTCTCAAAGCGGTTGAGAAAAGGCAAGGGTGTTTGTTCCAAATCAGAGGCTTTGATCGAAACCACCAGCTGAAAACGCGGATGCACAGGTGTCAGCACGGAATAGCTCCCAGAAGCCACAGTTGCAGCTAGGTTCATCTGGTCTCCCAATTGAATTCGCTGGAAACGAAGATTCAGCAAGTCATAGAAGCCATCCAGAACCTCATCAAAGTCGGTGATGATGCAGGTGCCTTCCCGTTCAGCGGCACGTCGGATCTCGTTGACGATCTGGCTCCGGTGCAGCTGATTGCGATCCGTTTGCAAATCCGAGACTTCCAGCACTGGAGCTCCACCCAGCAAGCCAATGGACCGGAGGATCCGGAGTCCACTGCCGTCCTGGAGGATTCGGAACCCCAAGTGTCTTTTCGCCTAAGAGGTGGCTTCTCTTAGCCTACTGAATGGAAGGGGCACCCTTGGCGCAGTTGTTGCCAAAAAGCATAGACCAACGTGAAATCAAAAAGGAACAGCAACCCAACCTTGGACGAATCAGTTGCAAACTGCCAACCCAAGAAAAACACGTATCATTGAATGTTGTCACTCGTCGTTTCTCTCTGCGTTCCCGCCTCGGTCTCATCGATCAAGAGCTTGTAGCGACAAGGTGCGAAGTCAGGTTGGTCCACGTCCTTTGGCCGATGCTCAAGGGAGAGGCAACATACCCCATCAATTCCTGCTATCTGGAACGCTATCTACAACACTATTCAGAATGGCACTTCCTTCTTCAACCTGGTTGAATCCAGAAGGCCTTTCCCATCCGCCACGCCTCCAGCTTCGGAAGATCCTCTAAAGCCTCTCGGATCACATCCACGGTGGACCGGAGGGTGGCCCAATCGGGCTGCGAGACCGCCCCGCCTGGGTCGAAGCGATCACGCGGCCGCTACTGGTTGGGACACGGGAGTACAAAGCGTCAGGTCCTCACAAAGCTGTCATTGTGAGGACAAGAATGTCATTCTGTTCGAAGCGTGGTCATGGTTTAAACATGTTTAAACTATATGTAGATTAGTTCACATCAAGCTGTCATCATTTTCGAGAAGAGCCCCCTCCCATTCCACCCAGTAAAGCAACAGAGTCCACAAGAAGTTTGGTGAATCAAAAAGCTACTAGAATCCTTGCTTGCAATGTTTGAGACAGGAAAAAAGCTCCAAACCCACACCTCTTTTGTCATTCTGACCCAGCAGAATGATTACAGGTCATACAGGTGACGTGGTTTCGGGGCCTGTGGCATCCTCCAAGTGCTTGAAGACAATGCCCGCCAATGTTCGGAAGTCCTGCAATGTTGCAAGGAACTGAGATTGAACATCTGAGATCAAACATCTGCGATTGAACATCACGCACGGTCCTTCTCAAAGATTGCTTTTCAGCAAGAGTGTGAAAAGGAGATACATTTAAGGTGAAAAGCTTGGAGAGCTTGAGAGTGATGCAAGGGCAAACACTGTGAGACCCTGAAGGATGACAATGGATCAAGCTGATACAGTTGCCAACACCGCTGAGGAAGCTAAGCTTGGAGAGGAAATTCTGACTTAGCCTCATAGTATATAGGCAAGAACCTCCTATCGTCGCTTCTAGCAACAAGGGCATCGCTACTAGGAGCAAGGACGCTACTAGTAGCTCCTGGCCTCACTAGTAACAAGAAGCTACTAGTAGCAGGGACGCTTCTAGTAATCGGCTTTCGTCGTTGCTTCTTCGCTCCTCCGGGCGCAAACCACCGAAGTTCCTCTCCAAGCTGTGCAAGACATCACGAGCCCTCACGGAGCCCCCCTGCACCAAGTTCCGTTGCCGCAGGTACCTCGACTCAAGGCACGCAAGGCACAGGAGGCACTTACCAAGTACGCCGGTGGACATAAAGAAAGATCTCTACAGGTGCTAGAACCTGAGATATATGGAAAAAAAGCACAAGCTCAAAGAAGCACCTTCCATAGCACTGAAATACACAGCAACCGTCGCCTCAGGCAATGGTGAAAGTCTCGCAGGTGAAATATGCGCAAAGGGCTTCCTGTGGACAGGGGGAGGGCATCGAGATTGGGGAAAAAGCTTAATAAATAAATAAATATATATATATATATGTGTAATACTTATATATATATATAACTATATTTATACATATAGTTGTAAGAAACTGATCATCAAAACTCCTCAAGAATGACCTTCCTTGGCAGGGGTGAGAGATGGCGGGAGTGATCTACGGACTTCTTGCATCAACTTGGCAGTAACACGCAGCCAAGGATGCCAATGGCATACTTTGCACCACAGGTCCTTTCTCTTGACCTCTGGATATCTCACGGAAGGCACCACAAAAGCCTGACACCACGGCGGCAGAGCTGGGATCCTCCAAAGAAACGCCCAAGCAATTTGCCGCCAAGACTTTCAGATCCTCACCATCTGCTTCATCACGGAAGACTTGAAGGCACCGGTTTCGTTTGGCCGCATCCAAAGGCTTGTTGGCAAGGACGCAACAAAAAAGTTCCCCTTGATCGATCCAGTAATGCATGGCTTTTAGGCTCTCCATGCTTTCAGGAGGCAGTGCTGCCTCATCGATGAAAACCACAGGGCACCTGCGCGTGCTCGAATCCGCCTGCTGCTTGAATCGCAAAGCATTCTCAAAAAGCTCGTGAATTTGCTTCGACGTGCTCTCTTTGGAGCACTGGTACCGGAAAACGGAGTTCGCCACATCCTGACAAGCAGCTCAAGTCAGACTTGAAGCTCATGAAACGACAAGACTGACAAGCAGCTCATGGCACGCATTCCTAGTTCCTTCGGCCTGGAATTGTCGAAAGAAAGGCACTGATCTGTCGCCGCGCAGAACGTTGGTGGCAACATTCACTGCCAGGGTCTTTCCTGTACCAGGCATCCCCACGATCATCACAGGGATGTTGCACTCAATGCCCACGACGATTGCAAAAACATTCTCTTTGAGCGCTTTGGTAAAAGCGATGCCAGGACCGGGGTCTATATGCTCCATGTAAAGGGACATCTCTTCTTCCAGCACCTCTGGCAAATCCACGCTTCCGCTGGTTTCGGCTGCCTTGATCTCTTCAAAGTAACCACAAATGGTCTTCACAAAGAGCTTTCTCTGTTCGCTGTTGAGGCCGACGTAGTAGGTCATCCCAAACGAGAGCAACAGTGCTCGACTTGCTCGAAGGCGCGTGCCTCGCGGGGCGCTGTCACTGTTGAGGACATGGCGCTGCCAGAAGAATCTCCAAAGGCGGATCGCACGGATGACGTCACGCTGAGACACAGCTGAGCTGGATTCCAGCTTGTCACGCATGAAGCGTTGTGCAGCAGCGATGGCAGCGGCAAAGAGGAGGGCGTCCTCGGACGATGGAAGCAGCTAAGTAGCCAGAAGCTACTAGGAACAAAGGGCATCGCTACTAGGAGCAAGGACGCTTCTAGAGGCCTTACTACTAGTAACAAGAAGCTACTAGAAACGGTTTTCGGTGGATCACAGGGGGTCAATTGGCAAAGTCACCAGGCAACAGTACTGAAAATGGTTGCTGGCGTAGGGAGCAAAGCCTCATGGTCAGAGATCTGCATCTCAGCATGTCTTTGGGTCATTTTCCTGAGCAAAAGCAGCGCGTAGCGTTCTTCGTCAGCTTCCTCAGCAGTGCGCTGCCCAGTCAACGAGCTCAAACAAGATCGCCACTTCCACTCATACACCGCGAGGGAAGGTGGAAGAGGGTGCACCTGAAATGTCCAGAGCGCGGATGTTCTCAGGTTTGTTGCAACTGCTTAATTTGGCTACTGTGAGAATAAGGGTATCTGCATACCCTTGAACATCTTGAACCTACAGAGAAAAAGAAAAAAACAGAACGGCCACCATGTTCCGCAGCTGAGATACCTGGAAGAAGTCGCGCATGACCGTGGCGCTACCTCGCAGCACCAGGTCTTCCTTACTTGCTTCTTCCCGGTATGGATTCGCCGCAGCGACCAGGAAGAGATTTGGATTCGGAGCCAACAGCTGATCGCACAAGATGGCTTTGACAAATCCCAAGCAAGAGGATGTATTCACCTGAGGGTTTACACTCTGCGAGACACAACCAAAACGAGTCTGTGAGCATGCTACAGAATGGGTGTTTGTGGGGAATTCGGGTCGGATGAACGCCCACCTTGCAAACAACCCGCCTCATCGAGAAAAGCTACGACTGTCATCTCAGGCTCTCTGCGACAGGCATCTAAGGCCGGCTGCAGCTGCTCCTGGTGTGTAGAACTAAGACAACTTGAAACAAGAGCATGATGTTTAAGAATTCCCAAGCTGTCACAACCAAGGCAGGACCACATACCCCACCAGTGGGTGGGTATGCCTTTTCAGCTGGGTGAGGTTCTCCTTTGCTTCTCCCTTGGCCAACAAAACCCTGAACAGTCCAAAGCTCCTGGATCTGCTCTGCTGTCATGGCTGCATGGACCTAGGCCAGGTAGTTCGAAAGAATTCGAACTAGACTCTCCTGCAAAGCTATGTAACCACGCTTCACTGGGCAATAACATATTCAAAACTTAACGCGAAAAGGATGGCAATCCTTTTAACCCAGCGAAACATCGACTTTCCACTCTGCCTGCACTCGGAAGAAGAACTGGTTGGTCGGCAAGCATGCGACCACATCACAGGCAAGTCGCACGGCCTGGTCATTCACCTGAGGCAGTTCTACGGACCGTCTGTCCGAAAAAGCAACAACAAAATTGTGGACATTCCATGCACAAGTGGATGATTTGCGGATTTGCAGATCCAGGGACAATAGAGCTACAATTACTGATATGCACTTTCATCATCTGGGTAGATCCACACAACTCTTGAGGCTCGGCAGGCCTCAAAATCTCCTTCACCACCAGCCGCCCTGCAAAAGATATCAAAGGTCGTTCCTGATCTTTCCTGCTCCTTTGCCGCATGATCCATTCTCCTCCACCTGTCCTTGCTCCTCTGAATGTCCTCCAAATCAGGAACGCTCCCCATTCGCAGCAGCATATGCAGCCTCAACTTGCCGGAACAACCAGTCGGAGCCTGCCAAACCAGCACAGTTGTGAAATTCACCAAAACCTTCAGAGTCGGGAATCCTACACGTCTTTCGCAGAATCTACTCGATGGGTGACAACTCTGGGACGACCGAGTTGCAGTCCAATGTCGAAGCGAGGGGACACTTCAACTTTCTTCAACATCTCTCGCACGAGCTCTTCACGTGTGAACAAAGCCTCAAGAGGTGAAGAGAGGTGAATAAAACAGAAATTAGAATCTTAAGGCAGCTAAGGCTCAACAAAGGTGTTAAACGTTCATGTGATCCAGAAAAAAACTGTTAAGCAGCGAAGGTGTTTTCATGTCTCTTCTTTTGCAGGTGGTTACTGTGCAGCTGAACAGCCGCTTGCAAATTGCGCTCACCATCCATGGCTCTCTGGCGGTACAGCACGGGGTTAGTCAGGAGATCCTGCCCGGTGTGGAGCCACACAGGATGTTGAAGCCCGGCATGTTGGGTTAAGGTCGATGGACTCAGGTTCACCAAACGAGTGACACCGTCGCACTAGGGTTTCCCAACAAGAAAGTCAAGTGGCGTCGGTCCCTTTCCATCATATCCGTGCAAAAAAGAAGACGTCCGGAGCGTTTTGTCTTGGCACGTGCGGCAAACTGCTCGGGGCGCTTGTTGGACGCGGCCGACCCCAGGAGCCGCCAAAGCCAGAAACCATGTGCCTTGAAGCCCTGTAGTGTGAAGCCTTCCTCCAGCAACACGTTCATCTCGTTTTCCACAGCCCTTAGGAGCAGTTTTCAAGTGAACAAGCTGACACGTAGTTGGAGCAAAAGCTCCCCCATGATACCATGAAGCTGTGTGTGCTTTAGACCCAGTGTATGTGCCTTTCCTGCGGTGGGACGAAACCTTTACTTGTCGGTACACTTGTTCGCAATCTCTCTGCCATGTGACTGGACCACGGGATCAGCTGAAGCCTGATCTTTCGCCCGGCGCAGCTTGTTCCTCATGTAGTCGTAGACATCCTTTGGGATGTTGGGACGGACCTGCCGCGGAGGCCATCCGTTAAGTTCACGGCTCGAACATGTCTGCTGTGTGTCTCCAATTGAAACGAAAGGACTCTTGAGGACCCGCAAAAACATCAGCACTGTAGTGAAGTAAACTTAAAAGTTTGAAGGTCCGTCATGTTTGAGCCCCAAAAAAATGGCAATAATCCGCCCCGCGGACCTGCTGGGATTCCAACAGCAGCAGGGTGAGCAGCTCCAAGGCCCGCGTCTTCCCAGTCCCGCTCTCGCCCACCAGGATCACCGGTAAGCGGCACCGCCAGCGTGCTAGGAGCTCTAAGATTCGGCCCGTGAAGTCGCGTGTGAGAATGTAGCCTGGAGAACCAAGAGAATGTCTTAGTGTCAAATGATTGCATCTGGCATGCTCGTTGCAGGAACTGTGCTTCTTGTGAGCTCTTCTTGGTCGACACCTGAACTCACATCGTACACCTTCGCTCAACTTACACGATCCAACTTCAATATGGAGCTGTGAAAAACTGGGAAGGCATGGAAGGAAGAGCCGGGGCATTCCTTTCCACTACTGGGCGCCATGTGAGCTGGCAGCACTCTTCAGCGGTCGACGCACCGCGCGCCTTCGTGCTCCAAAAGCTCCTGAACCTGTCTGGCTTCGATGCCGAATGCACAGCTCAAGGCCTGAACGCCTTGCCTCTCGTCCTGCGAAGGCACGCATGTTCGGAGATGAAAAGCCTCACTAAACATGTGCAGAATGTATGCAATCCTTACATGGGTGATAGGTCTGATAGGTGATGATTCGTTGACATGGATTGGTTAGGACGGAGCCATCCGCCACCCTGTCCTCCAAGGCCGACTCCAAGGACATGCCCAGCGATGGATCTACGGTGAGGACTTGACATGGAAGCTGTTGGAGCAACTGCCTTCTCACTCGGTTGCACTCACACGCTGGGCCACGAGGACATTGTCCACTCCTCTCTGCATCCCATGAGAGGCTTGGCAGAAAAAATTGAAAATCATCGCTGGAGCGCCCGGTATAAGGCGGCACGAAGTGAATACAAACCTCTTCTCCCCGGCTGAGTTGCTTCAGTCCGACACCCACACATTCCACCAAAAGCGAACCAATGCGCATGACGGAGGGATCTTCCGTTGACTTGAAGAGATACGATCTAGCCATGAAGGCTGCGAGGATCGAGACGCGGCGGAGAATCAGGTCCTCGTGAGCTTTGGTGAACTCTTGACGCACCAACAGCCCAAAATGACTCGCAAACGCCTGCAGGGTGCCTTCGGCATTGGGAGGATCTGGGAAGCGCCTCACATCCACCTCAAAGCCACCGGGACTTAGATCATGAAACAGCTTCTCAAGCTCAGGTCCACCATAGTTGGCCAGCCGTTGAAGTTGCTCCACCTCACTCGGACGGATGTCTATCAATTTGCGACCACCTAGCCCTTCTAAGGGATGTGGCTGAAGAAAGGCATGCATCAAGCGAAGCGCCACTGCAGGGCTCTCTGCCAGCACTGGAGCTTGCGTCGCTTGCGTCGATTGCGCTACACCTAAGAGCTCCACATCATCGTCCTCTAGCGCTGGGACCTCACCAAAGGCCTCTTCGCCACATCGCAGCGGAGCATTCCTCACCTCATTGGTGCAGTCCTTGCCAAGGATCCCCAGGATCGGATAGATCATCTTCAGGTTCAGCTGATCAATTGGGACTTCCGGGAACTTGGAGTGGAGCAGCTCTTCTGTGGCATAGGACTTCAATGCATGAATATCACGCTTTCCAGCCAATGCACCAATCTCCACATGCACAGTAGACTCCAAGGGGATTGACACCATCTGGCCTGTGCTCGCATCATAGAGAACTTGGCATAGAAGTAGATTCCTTAAAAAGGTCTTCGCTACCTGGAAGTCGCTATATGCACTTAAGTCAATGTGGAGGGCCACCTGCCGAAACTGCCCAGCAAAAATGGCTGATCGAATCTCCGTTTCAATGAAGTCCTTCGCTGTGAACCCTTCGTGCAAATGGCACTGCAAGGGGTCCAATTCATTTGCCCTGCAAAGTCGTCGAATGGAAGTGCTTTTCCCAGAGGATGGTCCAGCACCCCCTGGCCCGGGTGCTCCCTGGTACAGCAAGACTTGAGCAGATTGCTGCTCCCAGATTCTCTGTGCCTCTGCTTTTTTGTTCAAACGCAAAGGCTGTGCTTGAGCTGCTGCGGGAAAGGGCCAAGGTGAGGTCAAGATTACGGCCATGGAGCACTCCTGCACCCAAACTCGGCCGGGCGCGAGAAGAAAAAAAGAAGAATTGAACAAGTAGCTTATTGTTACTAATAGCTTCTTGTTACTACTAGTAAGGCACTTGTTACTACAAGCGATGCACTTGTTCCTAGTAGCTTAATTGAACATTTTGCAAAAATGCTCGTTAAGTCGCCTTGCAACACTCGTTAAGTCCGGTTTTTGGGTCCAACCCCCGCACCCTGCTCTTGCAAAGCCAGTCTGCGACCTGCTTCTTGCCCTCTGCTGGAAGGCCACTGGGCTCCACTAGCACAAAGAGCATCTCGGGGAAGTGCTCCACCCGCCATAGGAAGGCCTGGAGGAGACAAGAACAAGCATGAAGAGTGCAAGGGGGGGGAAGGCCGTCTGAATCGGCTCCAACAAGCCTCCACCTCTCTCAAGGGCACGCTCCAATCGCCGAAGAGAACTTCGGAAGGCCGTGGAAGCCGCTTCGGGCCGTGGGGCGAAAGCAAGAAGAGCTCGGCAACCATGAGAAGCAGTTGCTCCTTGTCTAAGCTACCATGAAAAAAAGGATCACGGCGAGTTAGCAATCATTCATCATCTTCAAGACCGGATGATGGCTCATTCAGACATTTGGGGGATGTGTCAGAAGTGGTGCGATGTGCTGTGTAGCAAAGCATGCTTCTCTGCTTTCTACCTACCAACTTACCTGGCCACCTGGATTTTCAGAATCCTACCAGCCCCTGAAAGAGCTATGCAAATTCTCTCGGCTCGAAACATCTGAAGACATCGGTCGAAAAGGTCAGATGTCTTCGCCGGTCCTCTGGAACTCCTTCTGCATGCTGCAGGAAGATACCGCGACCGGACGATCTCACGGAGGCGACGTGGAGATCTTCACAGCAGACGCACAGGGCTTCCAGTGCCTGCACCTCATATGAGAAACGTCTGTCAAAAGAAACTGAAAACCATTGATGGCACCTTGAAATGGAGTTTGTGAGGCTCTTGGCTTGAAACTTGAAACACACAGGGTAGTGTGACACAAAGAACTGTAAAGTTTGAGCTTACGTCACAGGTCAGGGTGATGCACCAGAAGAATCAAGTGGCATGAAAGCGCAACGTGTCCAAGTCTGCCAAGGCTCGGCAGACATGGGCTGATTCATGGGTCTCCCAACTTTCTCCAGCCTCTGCTTGAAAGTCTCCTCAGTCCAAAACTTCATCACCGATTTCAGTCCAAAGGATCAAAACCCCCGCACCTTCTCATGTTCTGGAGCCGATCTCACATGAAGCTGGAAAAATGAGAGGCGACTCGAAGCGACGTTCAATCAATTACTGTATAGTGCTTTCTGTATAGTGCTCCCCAAATCGATAGTGGCACGGTTTCCAATACATGTTCAGTGGGGATTTACTTTTCTATATGTCACAGGGGGTGTATATACATATATATATATATATACATAATTCCGTGTATAGTCAACATGTTACTAGTAGCTTGTTGTTACTGGCAGCGATGCACTTGTTACTATTAGTTGGTTCTTCCTTTTTCTTCAAAACCGACCCCCATTGTACGACGCCTTTCGGCACTGCCAGCGAGGCACCGGGGTGCATGGCACCCAAAACGAAAGCGTGCTGGCCACGGAGTGTAGGAAGTCCATGCTGGGGCCACAGCACAGTTGAGCCAACCAGCTGTGGAATTGTCCTCTCCAACGGACCATGAACAGCTGGGACAATCCGTGAGTCATGGCTTGATTACTGAGATTGGTTTTGCATCATTTCAAGCTATTTCAAGTAAGTGTTAATCCACTCCTAAAAAGCAGCAGAACTTGGGAGAATTCATAGAGGACTTCCATACATCCCGGCCCCACCCACTGACTGTTAAAAGTGGGGCAAGTCTGAAAAGTTCACGTACATATCAACGCTCTGTTTGTCACCTTGCTCGACTATGACCGCAGCAACGGCTTGACTGCACCCCCCTTCAAAACATGCTGCAAACATGGGCCCCAAAAAATGCATTCTTGATCAGATGTATACCACGCAATAAGGCAATTGATGTGGCTACTTCAGCCTTACTTGATGTTCCCAAGCTGCCGATGTGAATTGGCACATATGATGAACGACCCTGAGGATCATTGCGACCAACGACTGACTCCAGCTCCCACTGACTCCCACCTCTTGGAACAAGACCCAGCAAGGGCGCTGCTTCCAAGCTGGCCATCAACTGATGCTTCCACTTATCAAGTCGGTGAAGCCGCTCCAGCGCAAGATCCTTCAACTTGCTCTCCATGGCCACCTCCCAAAACAAAAAGGGCAAAAGATTGAAAAAGATGTCCAACTCTCCAACACCCAAAGAAAGGCCCTGGCAGGATCCGGAAACAGAAAAAGAGCAATCCCTTCGGAGGAGTCCAGCAGGATGAAGTGGCTAATCATATATACTTGGAACGTTCTCTTCACCACCACCCAATCAAAGGCGATCTAGAACAGGAGGATATGTTTGGTGTCAATCTGAGCAGAAACGCAAAAAGCCAGTGCACCTTCTTGACTTCCTGGAACTTTGGGTGCCCAGCCAGATGCAGCTGCACAGTAGCAGCTACTAGCCCATGTTCAGCATCTAGGATGCAGTTCATCCTGGGGCACCAAATGGAAGTGAAAAGTGCTCAACATATGGGGCTGAGAGAAGACCTCATTTACTAGTAGTTTGTAGGAAGTCTTTGCGGGTAAACACGGGCGTCGGTGTAGATTGATAAAAGTAAAGGTTTAAACAAAGTGGCACTCCAGACTCCAGAGCATCCCTTCATCTGATTTGCCAACTCAGACATCTGTCAAGGCACTGATCTAGAAAGCCTCGCAGGGTTGTGGCTTCTCTGGATGTTGCATCCCAGTTGTCCAATGACATCCAGCTCCTGTGGCCCAGAAGCAAGGCAATCCAGTAGCAAGGAAAGAAAACAAGCTGTTTTTGCAGCTGGAAGTGATTGGTGGAATTGCAAAACACATTTCACATCCAATGGTAAAGTCTGAGTCTATATACACCCAATTCCACCCACACACCCATTCCACCTCAAGGCACAGCCGCGTCTGCACGTGTGTTTCCCCGCCCAACACGCTCGTGGACCCTACCCGGAAAAGCTTGCTGAACCCCTCCGACTAGTTCTGCGGCCTACTGTTTACACACCCCTTGCAGGGGTTTGTTTCTGCTTGTCCCAGTAAAAAAGTCCAATTGAACCAGAAGGCAAATGTCTGAGAGACTAGCATGGCACCATGGCGCTCCTTGTTGAATATTCCAATAGACTGCTTAGCGGCACCAGCACTGACATTCCACCGCCCTTGTGCTCGAAGTAGTAGCAATGAAAGGTTTCTTTGCTGGGATCAATGACCAGGAAACCCTCCATGATCTTTTGCACCTCAAAAAACTCATCTCATTGACTGGTTTGGCTTCTCACGGAACAGCACACAGCAAGTGTGTGTGTGTGTGTCCAATCCTGTTTCCAAGGACACTACTCTAGT